TGGGGAAAATCCAGTGTTTCATTTGAAGGCATAAAATGTGTTGGGAAGACTGAAAAGTGACTCTCACTTTTGAACTCTTTTCACAAATGAAAAGAGCACTTAAAATAGTAAAATAATGACAACTTTAAGATTACTCACATTTTTCCCAACTTTCCTGCTAGTGTCTCATGCAAAATTATGTCAACTGAGTGAATTTTTACTAGATAGGGTAACCCATGAAGCAATGTTGCCCTAAGAAACTAACACATTCCCAAGTATTCTAAATTATCAGCATGTCTGGAGATTTGGGATAAATACTTGGTATAAGAAACCTCATTTTCTAACTTTTATATTTAACTGTAATCATTGACTGTGTCATCAATCCTTAATAAAAGTTCAATACAGATTAGATCCTTAACAGTTAATAGTCCCATTTGTGTTTCCTATCAGTCACATAATTGTGAATTTTCTAGAAATAGTTCTCAAAATCCAACTTGAAATGTCTTACTTCTTATTTCCTGTTTTCAAAACAGGATCAACTTTAGACACTCCTCCTGTTAGCAATTTCTAGAGAATAGTTTTATTACATGGAACCTAAAGAGTAACAAGTGGTTGTTTGCAGAACTGGGTATTTCCCTATTTGGAAAATGTTTGCATTTTTCTTTATTTGCATACTGTTTCTTCACATCAATGTGTCATTTTCCCAGTGATAGAGTTAATATAATTAAAACTTTCTCATTCATCAAGAGGGGAAGTTCCAAAGGAAATTAATGTTGAATACAATGTCCCAATCACTTTTCTAGAAACCTATAAGAAACACAAGTTTCTGCAGCACCAAGAGAGATAATGACATTTTTACTGGTGATGAACGACCTGAGGTCTTTGCTCTCGAAGTGATAAGCCCAGTCAAATCACAGCATTACACCTTCCCCTTCAGAAATGGAGAATGAGCTGCTTGCCTCTATGACAAAATGTAAGGCTCAGCAATTGTTGTGGTTTTGATGATGCCACAGTTCTGCCCCAAACCTAGCAAGTTTGCCCTGAAGATTATTGAATTACTCCACTGACCATGCATTATTTAAAGGGAAGTGCTATTATTACAGAAGTCAACAGTTTAACCATTGGAATTCCATCTGTTGGCCCACTTTCAAAATACAATAGTGTGATGTGACGATACATGATATCTGACCATAGAGGAATCAAGTCCTAGGGTAGCTGACAACCAACTTGTCTGTCAAGCAAGACCTGGTCAGCAGGTTCTAAGGAAATATTACTAACAAAATAAATATATAAATTTCCAATGTCCAAATTTTGTCAGCAAGAAAAAAATCTGTGGAATTTCATACATAGCTATTGATTCTAATAGTTGAGCAAATATATTGATATTTCATAATGCCAGTACCACTAACTATGGGTCTATAGCTAGTTGTAGAAAGGACTATCACAGTCACCTGTGATTATTTTTTGTTTGTTTGTTTGTTTGTTTGTTTTGGGTAGTTTTGACTGAAGAAAATGTTTTGAGCATCTTGGGGGACTTAAATATTAGAAAACAATGTTTTACTTTCTAAGTTAGAAAATACTTGAACTTCGTTCTTCAAAGCAATCTAAGTGACTTCTAACCATACTGAATATTTGGCCTAGAGGACTTTCCTCCTCTATTTCATCACTTTTTGCAGAATCTTTGGAATAGAAAGGACCCTAGCAGTCCACACTGTGTTCAGCACAAGACTATGCTCCTAGAGACTCTGAGAGTTGTTCAAACAACCTTTATTTAACCCCTTCTGTTAATGTAAATTTCATTATCTTTAAAAGAAGTCTGCCCCATTTTTTTTAACACCTTTGAGGTTAAATTGTTAGAAACATTTTTCTGATATTAATGCAGTGTTTTTTCCCTTTCACCTATCAATTCTGATTCTGCCCACTAGAACAGGATTACATGGTGCCTACTGATGTTTTAAAGGCAAGGATGGAAAAATTGATTAAAATTAGTTATAGAGACAATAGTTGCAATTGAAAGGTCATTAAAAATTGCTATTTTTCTCAAAATTGATACTGGACTAAGTTATTTTACTGCCTTTCTAGTAAGTCACATTGTATCAGCCTTCTTATTTTAACCCACAGAAAACAAGGGTCTTTATTCTGGTTTTAGACAAAAAGGTAGTAGGAGGCACTTAAAAGGAGCTAAACTTTGACCCTCAACTGTAGCACATGGTGTAAATGATTTTTTTGTTAAATATCTTGGTGTAGAACAAGGAAGTAGCTATAGAAAACTTCAACTAATGAGTTAAATTTTAAAAGGCAATAGGTAAACACACACACATAGGGAATATAAATAATTAGTCCATTTTAAACATAATGAATAGACAAAGAAAATCATCTCTCCAGAATTAGCCAGCCAGAGATAGCTACTATTTGCACTTATGGCAAAATGTTTAAGTGTATGGAACACAATTTTAACCACATTAAAAAAAAAAAAAAGATTGAAGATAAGGTAAAGGTACTTTATGGAACTTTACAGAAATGTCCTAAATTTCTCTGTCCCTAAATTCATTAATCTATAGACTAATAAAGCACAGCTGTTTTGTAGACTGCACTCAGTTAAATTCTGAACTCATCGAAGAGAAGTGACAAATCGGTTGCCTAGTACAGGCTATTATTTGTTGCTGAATTGATGATTATTTTCAACTTCACAGAGGAAATAGACCTTTCATGAATTTCATGACTGTTGTCATCAAGCAGGGGACATGCACTATATACAACATTTTCTTCATTTTCTGCCATTCCAAGATGAAGATCGATTTCTACATCCAGTAGCAGGAGCCTCTGCATTTATAGGGCCTCAGAAGGAAGATTACTTTCAAGATGTTAGAAATGGAAATGCCAAATAGGTCCTAGAATAGCCAAGCCTATTCTTCTCTACCATCAATCCATAAGTATGAATTTGTTTCTGAGTTAGCCAAGTTTGAAGGTTTCTGGACCCCTTCCCCCCAAATACCAAATTATTACTCCCGAGTCAACAAACAAACCCTAACTATGTCTCATTAAGAAATTTGTAGCTTCAACAAAGAACAATCGTTACCTGTGGCAGATGACAGGGAAAACTAATCTCAAAGCAGGCCTAGTCATCTTCTTCCTCCCTACACCAAAAGAAAACCAAAATGTATTGACTACTCTTGACTGGCTGATTCCTTTGGCCTCTTGAAAGAGCCACTTAACAAAAAACATATAGAAGTCCCTTCAGGATTGAGAAGAACCATGTAAGCCCATTTGTGCCTTTCCTCTAATTTATAGTCCCAGAAAAGATTATAAGAACAAAAAAACAAAAACATTCTTTACATTGCCCAAGAGACCAACAGAGTCTCAGCTGGCCAGGGTCCGGCTGGCAAGTAGAAGCATGTCTTGTGCACTAGTCAATCCTCCAATGGCAAGTGAAAACACTGTTGAGGCTCAGATGGGGCCAGCTGCCCATCCCTCCCAAATGCCTTAGCCTTGAAGAGCCCTCAGGGTTTGCCCAAAGCAAAAGGAGGAGACCCACCCAGAGAGACCACAAAGGAATCCTCACTGGGTTACTGCTCCCAGCTGTCTTAAGAATGACAAGAAACCTACCTTGTGGGGAGGAAACATACTCCACGTTCCTGTGCCAAGCATCAGGAAAACATTTGGAATCTTCCAGAATGCCATGAACAGTCTGGCCCTTGGAACAGAGAGGCTGCCAAACTAGTTTGGTAGCAGGCCATTAACATGAACCTTATATTCTGAACTACATGGGGAGTTTGACTTTCAAAACTTTAGCCTTAAGTATGGTGTTGGTGTTGCTGCTATGTGAACATAAAACATTTTATTTAATGCATAATGCTGTCTTCTTGTGTCAGGATTTAAGGTTGAATACATGTCAGATTGATAACAATTCTTCTGAGTCACAGTTCATGAATTTTCTTCCATGAAGCCTGTACATCAGTAGAGAAGACCTAGATCACCCACCTCCAAAGGGAGGTCAGGGTGGTAAAAGAAGGCCAAGATCCAGTCCCCGTGACTCTTCCCAAAATCAAGAGTTTCACTTGTGTTTGTTTTATACATTGGTGTGTATAAGCAAGATTTGATTTAACAAAAAGTTTACAAATATTTTGGATTCAAGTTTCCTGTAAGCTTGTTTTGCCTGATTTTTTAATTCTAGAGCCAAGAAAAGTGTGTCCAAATCAAAACAAAACAAAATAAAACTAAACCAAAATGTACTTGCCAAGTAAAGAGGTCTAATTGTTTGCAAATATCAAAAAACTTTTTTGATTTCTGGTGTTCCTTCTGGACAAGCAGAATGGAATTGATGGCTCTGGTTGCTCTAGGGCTATAGGAGAGGGCACCTCCCACATTGGTACTGTCATCCCTTCCCGGTTCCAAGGCTTCCAGATGTAATCAGCGGTGATGCTGTCTGACCATATACGATGAACATACATGATCCTGGAAGAGGGTATTCGGAGGAAGGGAACCAATTCTTATTTGGATCAACAGATGAATCTCAGTTTCTACACTAGAAAACAAGGAACCCTTTCCAGATTTAAATCTATGTAATGCTCAATCTAGAGTCACAGGGAAAGCAATAAGCCAACTAGCCAACCTTTGAGTCACCTTGCGCGTCAAAACTACAGAGTTGTTAAAAAGATTAGGAAAACTGAGAATTTGACCTTCTTTTAACTAATATTCCTAGCAGACTCCCAACTATGTCAGTACATAAAGAACTAGGATTGAGCATAGGACTGAGAACTTGAGGAAAATGAATACAGTTAAAGTGCTTGGTGAGTCAGTTAGTGCTAACAGGTGTTGTATAGACGCCAGGAGACATGCTAGAATCTAGAAGGATCTATGGGAACAGGAATTATTGGAGAAGCTTCAAGAAGAGGTGGAGACAAGGGAGTATGGGGAAGTGGACTGGGTGTGGGGAGAGGAGAGTCTTCAGGAGCTGAGTGGAGATGTGAAGGTAGCAGAAGCTGCTCTAAAGCCAGTCGCTCTGCGTTTGCTCTGTGCAGACAAGCCCACGGGGTACGGGTCCAGCAGTCGGAGGACGCCCCAGACAGGCATCGTGGATGAGTGCTGCTTCCGGAGCTGTGACCTGAGAAGGCTGGAGATGTACTGCGCACCCCTCAAACCTGCCAAGGCGGCCCGCTCCGTCCGTGCCCAGCGTCACACCGACATGCCCAAGGCTCAGAAGGTAAGTCACCCCACTGGGAACCAGACACCCTCGAGAGACATGTATCTTATATTGTGGGTGAACCAAACACACATTATGCCCTTTAGTCTCCCCAGTTTATAGGTCAAAAAGCTCCAGTCTCATCTTAGATGACCTTCCCTTTGGTCATTTCTCATTGCAAAATCTCTTCCGCTGCTCTGGAGGACCTGATAACCAGAAGACGGAGGACTAAGTATGAGTCTTCTAAATATGAGTTCCTCCCTCACCAGCTGAGAGCCCTCAGTCAAATAACGTAAACTATCTCAGCCTTTGCTTCATGTAACATGGAAAATGATAATATCTACTACATCCGCCCATTGTAAAAATTAAGGTCACGCATATTACATTGCTTTTCAGTGCCTGCACCATGTAACTGTTGGACAAATGTTAATGTTTGTCACCACTGTAATTAATAACAAAGCATGTAATCTTTCAAGTCCTGGTATTCTCCAAAGGTGCAAAGAAAAACCTACTCTAAAATGGGAACTATTTGAAATTCACATCCAGTGTCCAACATAATTTAAAGAAAAAATTAAAAATACACATTTCTATTTGGCTCTAAAAACACCTAGAAATTTCTAATGATCAAAATCTGCAGGTGTCTTTTCTAAGAGCTAGACTTTAAACAAGCCTTAAAGATACTGTCTCCACCATCTGTAGGGCTTACATCATCTGATACACATTAGTTACTTGATAAATTTGTGTTGAATGAATGAGTAAGTGCATGAGTGGAAAAAAAATAAATGTCTGGCCAAATTTTAGTCATTAATTAGAAAGAATGAGAACTAAAGAGAAGGTAAAGGAGAAGAAAGGAAACAATCAAGAATGAGTAGAGAAGAAAAAATTCTCATTTAAGTTTCCTTGGGGATTTTTGGCAGAAAAAAAACAACTGTGGTTTTAATCTTTGGAGGCAAAACCAGCACTGTGCAGAGAGTACAAATAAGAGACAAAGCCCTTCATAATGTGACCTTTGCTGTCTGCCTGGTCCCTGACCACAGCTGAAGCTGGAGGTGGATGGGGGTGGGCAGGGGGTGGGGGAGGAGCTTAGCAAAGAGGTGATCCCAGAGAACCACCTGGAGTGATGGGCAGGAACTGGCACAACGTGGTGCACAGAGAACAGTAGCTGATGAGTGAGTCAGGGAGCAAGGACCACGGAGGGGACTTGTCGGTGAATGTGGCTGAAAAGTGTGCTTAAAGGGGTGAAGGCAGGTTAATTCTTTCTCTTCCCAGGTGACCTCTCCATTATTAGTTGGGGAGGGGAGGTGGGGGTCAGACATGAGTCCCGCAGTTCTGGAATGTTGAGTCTAGTGACTGAGGTCCAGGTTCCTCTCCAACACCAATCTTGTCTCCCGCATCCTACGGAGCCCGGGCTTCTGGGCTGACGCAGAGACTCTGTCTTCCGGGACACCGAGGGAACCGCTTGTTCTCAATGCAATTATTTTTGTGATGTTTGCAGTATCAGCCCCCATCCACCAACAAGAAAACGAAGTCTCAGAGGAGAAGGAAAGGTGGGCCACAGGAACACCCAGGAGGGGAAGAGATGGAGGGACGGAAGCAAGTCAGCAGATCAAAGGAAAGAAGAAAGAGCAGAGGAGCTAGAAATTCTGAACCCAGAGGCAAAAAAGGACAATGGAGGAGAGAAGGACTAAGCAGACAGAGGCAAGGACCATGAGAGAAAAGGACACAGCGATAAAGAAAATTGGGAAGTGGCTAGAGGAAATGAAGAAAAATAGGCCTGGGGGGTTAGATAATGCGTGTGATGCAAGGAGAAGGCGGTTCCGGTTGTAGGATGTGGCTAAGAAACATGGAAAACAAAACTGTCAAGGCCAAGAAAGTCCAAAGAAAGAAAGTGGCAAGAATGAAAAATGAATAAAAATGATTAAAGGGGCAAATAAGACAGAGTATTCTCTTCCCTCCAAAACTCATTAAATAAGAATCATAGCTAAAAAATTAAGATTGAAATCAGGCCTTCCTTTTACATACATTTTTAAATGTTTTGTGACTCTATTATAGGAGAATTGCCCATGTCAATACATGTCCAGAGTTAAATATTAGCCCAAAATTCTCAGGAAGATTGAATTGTGTCATAACAATTCCCAGATTTTTCTTCCTTTTCTTAGTCAAGTCCAGGTTCAGGCCAAAGGGCATTCAGTATTTGCCTAAATGCCTGTGTGTGTGAGCCTGTGAGGAAACCTATGAGAAGAGGTCACTGACTCCTTTTTATTTATTTATTTTTGCACTTTGGAATCAGATTTAAAGGAGGTATTAGTTTGCTAAGGCTGCCATAACAAAGTACCACAGACTGGAGGGCTTACACAGAAATTTATTTGCACGCACTCCTGGTGGCTGGAGGTCCAAGATCAAGATGTCGGCAGGGCTGGCTCCTCCAGAGGGCTGTGAGGGAGGGTCTTTTCCAGGCCTCACATCTTGGTTTGTAAGTTGCCCTCTCCTCCCTATGTCTTCACATTGCCTTCCCTCTCTGCATACCTGGATGCCCAAATCTCTTCCTCTTACAAGGACACCTGTCATACTGGAGGTCCTTATAAGACATCCCTCCATAAAAACCCACCTTTGTGACCTCATTTTATCTTAAAAACCCTGTCCCAAATACAGTCACAATTTGAGGTACTGATAGTTAGGGCTTCTTTCAACACATGAAGGGGATGGGGGTCAGGGGGACACAATGGAGCCACTTACAGAAGACTTCTGGTGTCCATTTCTTATTCCATTCTCTCTCTCTCTCTCTCTCTCTCTCGTACATACACACACATGTACATTTTTAGATCTGAAATCCTGTGAGTTTTTGCTGCATAGAAATACTATAACCATGTTATATTAGAGCTGCAAAAGGCCTCAGAAATCATTTGGCTCAATCCTTTCATTTTAAAGGTAAGGATCCTAAGATCCAGATGGGTAAAGATGTGTTTAAATTTTACGCAGCCCTCCTTCTGGCCAGCAGAGAACAAAACATCATCAACAGGGACAAAGAAAGTTCCAAAAGGAAAAGATGGAGCAAAAATGGTCCTATGAAGTCTCATATATTTAACATTTTCCCACCGGGAAGAAAGGCATGAATGAGAACAAAAGTCCTGGATGACCCCCAGGCTAAATAAAGCTATGTAAGATCACAAAATTTAGGTCTTAGAGATCTTATGCATCAGCTTCTTTGATTTAATTGCTTGGGCAAGCATCTTCATAGATGATGAAGCAAAATATCTGAAGATCATCCAAATTGTAAATTATGAGAGCTGAGAGTAGGTTCAAAGAAAAGTGCACGGCCAAGCTAATGATGACATGGGCTAAGAAGATTACTAAACCAAGAACTGAAGTATTTCAACCAAGTATCCAACTTTGAAAACATTTATGGTAAAAGGGAGACTTCTTTCTCCTGGGTCCTTCATGCCCTTGCCTGGTTTTCTGTTTCAGGGTTACCCTTCCTCCGTGGTTCACTGAAAATCCAGGATATAAAATAATATAACATAAAGGATGAAATACTCAACCCAAGAGAAAAAGTTCCCATCAGAATCATGTCTCAGTCCCAGATGGGAGCCAAGCACTGCTGCTGTGGTTGCAATAGATCCTGGCTTATCAAAGCGAACAAAAGTCTAGGCTGGCATCTTGGCGCACCTGGTCAGCTAACTTATTTGGGAAATGCTGACTTTTGCTAAGACATCCATGCTAGGACCAGCCTGTAGTCAGGTCAATACCTACTGCAAGCACCACATGAAAGTAGCCTACAAACACAGATGGCTCTTCAAAGGACCACAGTTCAGCAGAGAAATGGATGGTTCAGGTTCTATGGAAAGATTCCTTCAAGATTTCTCTTCTGTCTTCCATTGATGACTGAGTAAATGTCAATTACACATCAAGCCTTTGGATAATCTTTAATTATATCCAATGATAAAGTTAATTTAAGAAGGAAGGCAAAGACTTAAAAAGAAGAAAAAGGCAATAGAAATTTGTAGTTAAAGGATGCTTAACTCCCAGAGTCTGAATTAAAACAAACTTCTTTTCAGAATGGTGTTATCAACTCAAAAGCAATTATCTTGAGTGCCTACATGTGATTTCTGAACAATATGACTAAGGAAATAGGAATAATTGTCTTTGTATGGCCTCTTTCCTAGTATCAATACTAAGCACTGAGTGATACCTGGCATATGATGCTACAAGGAGGAATGGATGGAGGGATGGATGGATGGATGGATGGATGGATGGAAAAATGGATGGATGGACAAATGAGTGAAATAGATAAGTGAATAGTAGTAGTAATTAAACCATAAAAATAAGTAGCACTACTGAAATGAATTTATTTCTCTTATCCATTAATATAGGGAAGGCAAAAGAATCACACCTACACAAGTCTTACATGTTACAGTTTATGTCTCTAGACTAAATTGAAAGAGTTCAAGGGCCTACTACTAAAAGTGGCAACTGATTTAGCACTTTATAGTAAACGTTATTTACCTATAGTTACCCACTGAACTTCCTTAAAATAGTGAGATAATTAATCATAACTTAAAATTCTACTGTTTTAACTGTTTCTTTTAGGGCAAATTGATGATGATATGTAAAGTGAATGGAAATACATAAAGAATCATTATCCTAAAATAAAATTGTTGAAAAATATTTTTTATTGAATGCCTACAATGTGCAAATCTCTGAACTAAGCATGTACAAAAATTATAAAGATTGAAGAGGCAATAAGACAGAAGGGTTAAGAATATAGAATCTAGGGCCAGAAAGCCTGGGTTCAAATCCTGGCCTTCCCACTTACAAGCTGTGTGGCCTCATGCAAATCATATAACCTCCCTGTGTTTCCATTTCATCATCTGTCGAATTAGGGTAATAATTGAAACTACCTCATATAGTTACTATGGGAATTTATTGAGATAATATGTATTTGTGTATATCAATGTGTATATATATATACATATATAACATGTGTTTATACATGTTATACTCCCCGTGTATATATATAATAGTGCTTTATTATGCTTAAAATGATACCTGGTAGATAGTAAGCACTACTAAAATTTTAGTTGATATTATTTTAGCTAGTTCTGAAAATTAAAGCCATCTAAAAAAGAAATGGATCTCTCAAGTGGAAGTGGATTTCATGTCACCAGAAACTTCAAGCCCAGTTCTGCCAGCGCTTTTCAGTGACATGATAATAGGATTTCAAGAATTTGACAGGAAAACTCAGTGACACGAGAACTTTTCCAACTCAGAAAGTCCCATTTCTATGAATAATTCCAACCTACATGGTAGCCTTCCTCTCTCACGTGAAGAACTATTAATTTTTATTTTGAGGTCATAGAATGAGCTTTCAGAAAACCACCATTTTTCTCAACCAGTTAAAATCAAATGTAATATGTGTTTTCATTTCATGGTGCCTAGGGAAACTTTAATTGCAGCCTGAACTCCAGCTCTCGCTAGTTTTAAGTAAAATTGCCAAAATAAATAGAAATGTGGGATATTTCCGGGCTCACACAGCATCCGGGATACTTCAGCTTCGAGGGCTGCCAATCTAGTGACTTTCACAAGCATTTGATCTTCTTTCAAACATCTCAAAACAAACAAAACCTCATACAGCTTCTAATGTGTGTACTGTTAGGTTGTAAAGATGGAAAAGAAGGGAAAGAAGTGAGGTCCCCAAAGCCCCTACTCTCTGTCTCCTGAACACTTCCTTCCCACCAATCACCATCAGGAAACAATGTCTTAATAAGTAATAATTTTTGCAGTTTCTCAAGCCCATTAGGATCTGTGGGAAGGATGAGGCTTATTCTGTGTACTTGCTCATGTGAAGGGAATAGGATGTTTTGTAATAGTTACTTGATAACATGGAGTTAATTTTTAATCCAAAAGAAAAAAATGAGTCTGAAATTAAAATGGAAGTCTTTGGTAGTAATGAAAAGATAAATCATTTTAGATGATGCAGAATGGCCTTTCCTGACATTTGGAATATGCACCATAGAATAGCTTGAGTTTTATACATGCCCATTTAAAGTTGAGCTGCTGATTCCTTTGAAAATCAGAGATAATATTTATTGACCAAAGCAGAACAAATCCACTTTTAAAGAAGGACCAGTTGAGATTAGCAAAGATGCTTTAGTGGTCATTAATCTTCTGAAATTGCAAAGTCAAAATCAGCTTCTCCTTCTTTAATGGACTTACTGATATCTGAACCCTATCATTGATGCCTGCATATTTGGAGTTCTTCTTTAACGACTTTAGATGATGCTACTTCATTTTTATCTAACAGCCAAAAAAAAAGATGATTTAGAAATATAAATATATGCTTAAACTTGAGAAGAAAAACATTGACTTGATAACACTAGGACTAGGGCTTTATGAATTCATGTCTGGTACTTCTAGAGAACAGCTAAGATTTCTTACCATTCTAGGAACTCAATGATAGCTCAGAAAAGTTGCTAGAAAAGTAACAAGAGTTAGAAAATATTTTTAGAAAATCCCCATCTTTACTGTATTAACTAATTTGGTTATGGTT